GTTGCATTCAACAACTCACTTTGTCCCTCTGTAAACGCTGTATGGTGTGTCTTCATGGAAATACACACATTCAAGTTAACATAGATCTTTAACAGCATTTTAATGGTGGCCATATGACCTAAACTGATGATTTCCTGCCTATAAATTAACATAGGTGTATGTATGTGTGTATACACACCCAGACACACTATAGAAAATTCCATAGTGTACTGGCTGAGCAGTAGGAGAGCAAACCTGAGCACATCTACTTAGAAGTAAGTCTCGTGTTATTCAGTGGGGCTTACTCTAAGGAAAGTGCCCTTAGGATTGAAGTCTAGACACATTCTAGTTAGCATGGGGTTGCCACTAAAAACAGCTTCCCCATGGCAAGTGATCTCTGTGCGTCTCATAGCATTTGGAAGTGCCTACCAATTGGAGTTTTGCTGTCAATTTTCTTTCTGGTGCCAGGAACATGGATTAGGGACATAGAGACTCCAGACATGGCAGCTGAGCATTACACAGTGCGGTATTCTGAGCTTTACAGATCAGGCAGGGATCACTTCCCATGGACAGCCATCATTTCTGTTGTGACTAAGTTTTCTGGCTCTAAATCTGCCAACGGGTGGGGTAAATTAGTTAATGCAATGAAGATGGTAATGATCTAGCATGTGTATGTGTGTGTGTGTGTGTGTTTTCCATACGAATATTGTTTGTCTACACTGGGACCTATAGATTAATATACACTAAATTTCAACCTGTGCTCCTGCTGAGATTTTAGTCCCTGTTGCCCTCTTGTTCGTTTTCCCTGGTAGCATGTTATAGACATTAATCTGTAACATGCAATATGAATATACAATATGCACCCCGACCAAGGTTGTAGACTTCAGTTTTTGGTCTCAATATGTATCTCAGCCAATGCACCGGGAGTACCAGAATGGAGATGGTTTTGGATATATCCTGTCTTTCCGAAAACAAGGCGCCCAAACCTGGAAGAAAGCAAAAGTGCCCCATGCAGAATCGCTGCACTATGTTTATCGCAATGAGAGTGTTGCACCTTATACACCCTTTGAAGTGAAGATCAGGGCCTTCAACAGGAAAGGAGAAGGACCAGAAAGCTTGGTGGCCATTGTCTACTCTGCAGAAGAAGGTATGCTTGGATCATAGGGGTAGCTGATGTTCAAGTATTGCTAAACCTTAGCTGCATTTCTTTCTCATTCTCCCAAGAACACCTAATAAAACTATTCAATATCATTATTAGGGGATGCTTCCTGTCATTCTTAAATGACAGACCAAATGTCTGGCTTCTGATCCTTGCCTAGATATTTTGAGGCTGGATCTGGATGAGATTCATCTGTAATTACAGGCTAATTTAAGTAAACTAATGTCACTGTAATTTGACAGAACCAAGAGTGGCTCCATCTAACATTACAGTTGAGGGAGTTTTGGCCACAGAAATGGATGTTTCATGGGAGCCTGTGGAGCAAAGTGACACAAATGGAATCCTTTTGGGCTATGAGGTAAGTAATAAGAAAGACTGGAATTGGAACAATGCTCAAGTTTGGTTCACATTCACCCTCTTCACAAAGAAGGATTGGGCTGGTATAGCTGAAATTGCCAGAACTGCTTAATGCTCAAACAGATTCCCTCTCCCCAACTCAGTCTGACCAGCCTTGTAATACAGCAGAATCCCCTCTTGTGAAACACCCAAGATGGCCATTCCAGAATAAATGGTCTAGCGTTAACTAGTGAAATACTGCAGTTCCTGAGGAACTCAGACGTGTTTGTTTTTCTGGCTTCAGATCCGGTACTGGAAACATGGCGACAAGGAGGAGGCTGCAGACAGAGTGAGGACAGCCGGTCTTGAGAAGTCGGCACATGTGACAGAACTTAACCCCAACACAAAGTACCATGTGACAGTCAGAGCTTACAACCGGGCAGGGACAGGGCCAGCCAGTCTCCCCACCAGTTTCACAACCACAAAACCACGTGAGTGGCTGTTAGATTTGGTAACATATGCACATGCATGTTTTATATCTTTCAAGTGGATATGCTGTGTATGTCTTTAGCAGGTTCTTTCACACCTTCTTAACTGACACATCAGATAGTTTTCTGCCACTACTGACAGTGTTTTTGAAAGAAATGTGTGCCCCATTCATATCCAGTAGAGCTTATTTTATATTCAGGTTTGCACACACATAAGAAGATATAAGTGAGAATTTTGTAAGAAGTAATGAATTTAAAAATAGGGGGGGGGAATAACCATAAGTTTCAGGAGTAATGTTGAGATTCCAGTGCAAGACCAATGCTGTACCATTCAAAATATAAAATGGCTTAGAATGTGTTTCAGATAATACTTTCCCCCCCAATGGCCACTGCACTGTAACAATCTAGCACAGCAAGACAGAAAGGTTTAAGAGATGCAATATGAAAAACACATTATGTACAGATTAGAGGAAAAACAGCACATTTTGGTGGCTACATGAGCGAGGGCCTTTTTAGTGGCAGCTCCACAATTATAGAACAACCTCGACAGGGGTGTGTGCATGGCCTCAATCTTAAGGGGGCAGCTGAAGATGGTTTTATTTAGGACTGCATTTGATTGAACTGGCTTTTACTATTGACATTCCTAACTGGAGTTTTTAAACTGTGACTTTTATGGGTTTTATAATTGTTGTTCTTGTTGTGTTTTGTATAATATTTTATTTATATCATAAGCCTTGTGCAACCTTGAGTTGCACAAGGGAGAAAGGCAACTAATAGAAATTTTAAAGAAATAAATAATGCTCTTTCCTCCAAAGGAGGACTTGTGCAACTTGTGACATCAGGACAAGCATATCCTCCTCCCAAATGTTTGTGGCCTTCTTCAGGGGGTGTGGCTACCTGCATTTTGCTGCCTGTTTAGGACTTCAAAACAGGATAAGAACATAAGAAGAGTCCTGCTGGATCAGACCAGTGATCCATCTAGTCCGGCATCGTGTCTCACACAGTGGCCAATCAGTTCATCTGGATGGCCAACAACAGAGCATAGAGGCTGAGACCTTCCCCTGATGTTGCCTCCTGGCTCTGGGTTTCAGAGGCTGACTGACTCTAAATGTGGAGGTTCCCCTTAGTTGCTATGGCTAGTAGCCACTGATAGACCTATCCTCCATTAATCTGTCTAATCCCCCTTTAAAGCTGTCTGTTCCTGTAGCCATCACTACATCCTCTGGCAGCAAATTCCACATTTTAATCACTCTCTATGTAAAGTAGTATTTCCTTTTGTTTGTCCTGAACCTACTGCCCATTAATTTCATTGGATGCCCTCAAGCTCTAGTATTTTGGGAGAGAGAGAAAAATGTCTCTTTGTCCACTCTCTCAACCCCATGTATAGTTTTATAAACCTCTATCAGGATGTTGTCAGGCACCTAGCAGACCAAAATATATGGCTGCTGTGTTGAGCTTGGTGGGTCACAAATTGTTCAGGCCTGCTGTAAAGGCTTCCTTAAATAGCTACAGCTCACAGGAAGACCAGAAAACAATAGGATGGATATAAGAAAACGCCGATCATCTTCCAGATAAATGTGGAAGAGAAAAATTGGCTTACCTACAACTTTCTTACAGATAGTAATAGAGAGAACCTAAAGTCTCAGATGTTACTGGGAGCAGGCGTATTCAATATTTCAAACACTGGTGTCCTTTTGACATATTTTTGCCAAACACCAGATCAAAATAAATAATAATTATCATATGGCATTGTGTGTAGCATAGCTAGGAGATTCTCAGATTGTCTGGCAGCCGGAAGCTCTAGCTCTTTAGCGTTATGCACCACTAAGTGGTGAGCTAGACTTGTTTTTGAGGCAAGAGACATTTCAGAGGTGGTTTGCTGTTGCCTGCCTCGGCATCACAACCCTGGTATTTCTTGGACGTTGCCCATCCAAATACTAAGCTGAGTTTAAGTTATATTGTTCACGGCCATTGGCCTTCACAATTAAAACATATTTGAAACATTAAAACATTTGAAACCTATTTACAAACAAAGTTAAAATTCTAAAACCTCAACTCACATTCAGCTCAATACAACAGGAACGATTCAATTGGTGACATTCTAAAAGGCACTATTCACTCTGATCTTCCTGGCTGCCAGGGCAAAAAGAACCAGTCTGTAAGAAACAGAAGGCTCCACATCGAAAAACATAAAAGCTAGTTTTTCAGAATCTGAGAAAAACTGTAGATCAACCAAAATCTTGGCCAGGAATGTATTCCTAGGACCTGAATACAGAGGGCAGGACAAAAAAGAATGTGGCAGATCTTCCACTGAGCTGCCACACAGATAGATATGTTGGTCAATTGGAATGTTGGCATAGCAACCTCTAGTAACTCAGTTGGCATTGTTTGGAAGCGCAACTCTGTAAATGCCATTCTTAAGTTATGAGCTATTAAATTGACCAAGTAGGAAGCTCTGGAATTATCTTTCATGATGGTTTTATACCATGGGGCAAACTTCTGATGGAAAATAGTAAAATTATCAATTATAGAGTTCCATTTAAATACTCATTCCCATAAATCCAAATTTATTCCTTGGAGGTCGCTCATCCAAATACTAGCCAAGGCCGACCCTGCTTAACATCCAAATTTGACAAGATCGGCCTAGCCTGCGCCATCCAGGTCAGGGCTATGACATCAAAAGGAAGGTAGCTCAGTATCAGTGAATATGAACCTACAAAAAGATTTTGGCTATTCCAGCAACTGAAGAATATGTTCCCCGTATTTGGGGAAATAGTTTTATTAACCATTTTTACTGAAATTGTTGTTAAAATTGGTGGTATTCGATATGGTTAATCTGAATCTACAAGAAAAACGTTTGGATCTTCCAAAAATGCAACATGCTTCATTCTCACAGATCCCAAATAGGAGTGTACCTAGTCTCCATGTGTAGCCCCAGGAAGCATCATGGTGGTTTGTCTACATGTAGGACCACATATGTTGTGTGGTGCATGCATGTCTGACTAAGGGCTATCAGGAAAGGGAACATCTAGAGGATGGATTCAGTCATTACTTTTTTAAAAAGCAAAGGATGAAATATGTTATCGCTACAGGTTCATTGTTTTTTCCAAAAATACTTAGTTGAGATTGTATCCTTCTAAGATGGATGGTGATGGCCCAGGTTAGCCTGATCTCGTTACACCTTGGATGCTAAGCAGGGTTGGCCCTGGTTTACTACCAAGGGAGTCCAGGGTTGCTGTTGTTCGTATCTTGCCTTGAAAACTCTGTGGGGTCGCCATAAGTGGGCTGTGACTCGATGGTACTTTTCACCACCAAGATTATCCAGGACTGGCTCACTACATTTTGGTGCCCAAAGTAGCCAATCCCACAGCATTCTCTACCCTCTCGGGGGTGAGAAAGGTATGACCCATCCAGATTACAGTGGCATTGATTTGGCAAGATTGTGCTCTGCAGTAATAAACTTAACACCTGGCAGATTGCTCATCTCTAATGGTATTAAAAATCTATTCTCACAGAGAGCTGCCTCACCTCTGCCTTGTGATAACCAGTCCACAGGTGATTTCCTTAGCCTTTCCATTTACCAAGTAGTCAACAGGATTCAAAAAAATATTTTCCTGACTTTGAATATATCATGGTTGTGGTGGTAAAAGACTAGCAAGAAAAGCATATGTATCAGAGAGACACAAGAGGAGAGAGGCAGTGACAAGCAAGTGAAAAAGACAGGCAAGGTATGACCCTAGAATGAGAGACAAACAAAAGCAAAACCAGTGTCAAGAGAAGAGCAAAGATGGCAAAGAAAGGCAGAGATGATTGAGAAGATGATTTGGAGAGCAAGAGAGTTTCTCTGCTGGTTCATTGGTTCATAAGTTAGGTGGCAAACACAGACTGGAGACCTCTAGCTGGCTTTCTGTTGCCTCTGTAAAACTCTTCACCAGTGTGTGTATCTTCTAGCACCAACAAGGACACCTGGCAACATCTCCTGGAAATTTATTGGCTCTGTTGTAAGCATCAAATGGGATCCTGTGATTGCAATGACAAATGAATCTGCTGTCACTGGGTACAAGGTAACTTAGATCTTTCTCTTGGCTCAGGGATTTTAAACTTTTGAATTGCAATATAATGGCCTCAAGAGTATTCTCAATTATTTCTTAATCCAGGGCAATGTTATTTATTAATTAATTAACTTATGTTATTTATAGTCCACTTTTTACACTGAGATTTAAGGTAGATTACACAGTATAAGGCAATACAATCAACAGGAAGGGTCATGCAATAAGCAGTGTAATATGATTAAGTTTGCCAAAATCTGAAACAAAACATAAGTATTAACATGACATGTTAAACAATGCAGAAAGTACATAGTAGGATAATACATACAGCAACAGATAGTATGCACTATACACAGTACTATAAACCAACACCTACCTCCTGATAAGAACCAACCTCCAGTATTTTGACCCAACTGAAGTCTCTGAGCTGATTTTGGGGGATGTAGAATGCATTCTAGTCTAGTCTCAATGTTACCATGGCCTGGATCTATGTGGTCAGTTCAGCTGACTCAATGTGTGTGTAGGAGTCATCTTTTGGGCTAAACTGAGTTGGAAGAATGCATCTTTTGAACCTGCACTAACTTGTTTCTAGCAGTAACGTTGGACCCAGTATAACCCCTAGGCTCTTAACCGAGTCAGCAAGGGTCACCTGAACCACAGGTGGGAAGCACAATATCCTTCTAGATCTCTGACTTCCCGATGAGCATTAACTCTGTCTTGTCAGAATTTATTTTCAACATGTTCACTCTTAGTCATTTAGGCACAGCAGACAGGAGGTGATTCAGGACCTCAACTGCATTACTAGGAGAGTTGGTTAAGGAGATATTGAGCAGGGTATTATCAACACACGGATGACTGGCTACCCCAAAATTATGAAAGCTTTGTTCTGTGGGCTTTACATAGAGGTTGAATAGCATGGGGAGATAGGATGGCACCTTGTGAAACCCCACAGGATAGGCCAGACACTGATGACAACTGGTCTCCAATGGCAACCAGACTTCAGAGACCACACTCAGTGAAGAATGATTCAAATGATCCCAAAGCACATCACCTGATACCTACTTCTGCCTCCAGATGCCTGAAGAAGATGGCATGCTTGACTGTATCAAAGGCTGCAGATAAATCCAGTGGAAGCAACAAAGATGCATGGATTTGGTCTAGACAAAATTTGTCAATTAAAATCACCAGAGCCATAGCCAGACCAGATGAGTTATCCAAAAAGACCTGGAGTTGGTCCACTGCTATCTCAATCGCTTTGCCCAGAAAGGGCAGATTAGAGACTGCACAATAATTTGCCATGTCATTTTTCTGTAGGAATGTTTTTTTAAGTAGAGGATAGATAACTGCCATTTTGAATGAACAAGGGAAAGTGCCCTGAATTAGTAATTTCGTGACAGTTAGTGATAGACACCAAAGGCTCATTGATGTGGTCCTTATACAATTTTAGCAGCCAGGATGGGCAGGATTCAAGGCACAAGTAGTGGCCTTCACAGATCCCAGGATCCTGTCAATATCTATCACAGAAGCTGGGCCAAAAGGCCTAGACGATGTATTGGACATATGGTCCCCTGAAAAATAACTGTTTGTGTGGTTGGCTGTTCTTGTCAGATCAGGGTCTGGGGACTTTGCTTCTGCATCTGTCGGAATTTTTCAATTTCTTAGGATGTGTAGTCAGTTTAGATTCTTACTGCAGCCCTTTGTACAGTTGTTTGGCTTCCTTTTATGTATGCACAAGTGTGAGGCCATGAGACTCGCAGGGGGGAATCCCCCCCCCAACTTTCCCACTGGGTCCAGCATGGCTTCTGGGCTGTGCTGCTGGCAGTTCCAGCATGGCTCCCAGGCTCCTGTGATGACTTGTACAGAAATCGCTATTTTACTTTTGTGGGAATATTTTTTAAAGATTTCAAATTTTTGTGCAAAAATTTACAGAAAAATATGTTTGGGGTAAGTGTGGCCCTGGCCACATTTGAAAAATCGATATATATATATAAAACCACACTGAGAATTCCTCAGAGTTGAGAAATAGGGGCATCACTCTTGCGGTTACAGGTTTGTAAATATATATGTTGGGGGGAAGGAATCCTGACAATTGACTTTTAAAAGTAAGCCCCAAATGATGCTTCTGCCATAGATGCTGTACCAGCAGGACTCACACTCCACTCCTAAACTGTACATATCCAACAATAATCGGATTGAAGTTCCCTTTCCAGAAGACTTCACTCATGCTTCAGTGCAAATTAGGACAACTGGGCCAGGTGGAGATGGAGTCCCAGCACGGGTGCACATCCTCAGAAACAGCGGTGTGTCTCTCCTTTTCTTTCTTCATGTATTCTCAGCTATATATAAGAGTGGACAATCTCAGATGACAAACTTATCAAGGAAAATAAGAAAGCTTTACTTTGCTCCTCATTGCCTTACTTCATTCTCTCTCCTTATGCATCATTTGGAAAAGAACCAAGGCTTTGGTACAAGGTCCTTTTTCTTCTTGCTCTGTTGAAGGGGCAATGGCAGCTTGAGTTTCCCTCCTTGGGTAGAAAGTGAGATGGTCATGTCTGACCATCAAATCAGTTCTTTAGCAAACTACTCTCAGTTGTTTCTCAAGTGCATTTTGGTCTGGGAGACAAGGGGCCTGGAATCCAGTCTCAAGAATGCTGTGATACGTAAGCAGTGTGGTGGCTAAGTTTGCAGATGACACTAAGTTGTTCAGGGTGGTGAGAACCAAGGAGGATTGTGAGGCACTCCAGAGGGATCTGTTGAGGCTGGGTGAGTGGGCATCAGTGTGGCAAATGAGGTTCAGTGTGGGCAAGTGCAAAGTAATGCACGTTGGAACCAGTGTTCGCTCTAAGCTGAGTTAGTGTGAGCTAGCTCACAGTTTTTTAGCCTCCAGCTCACACATTTTTGTCTTCGCTCAGGAACGATGGCTCCAGAGCAAGCTAATTTATGCGGTAGCCAAATCGCTCGCTCACAACTGTAAGGCCAAGAGCTCACAAAGGAGAATTTTTGCTCACAAGACTCCACAGCTTAGAGGGAACATTGATTGGAACCAGAATCCTAACTATAAACACATGTTGATGAGGTCCAAACTGGCAGAGACTGACCAGGAGAGATTTTGGAGTCGTGGTAGATAAGTCACTGAAAATGTTAGCTCAGAGTGCGACAGCAATAAAAAAGACAAATGCTATGCTGAGGGCTCTTAGGAAGGGAACTGAAAACAAATCAGCCAGTGTCATAATGCTCCTGTACAAATCAATAGTGTGGCCTCATTTAGAATACTGTGTACAATTCTGGTTACCGCACCACAAAAAAAGATATTATAGCTTTGGAAAAAGTGCAGAAATGGGCAACTGATTAAGGGAATGGAACACTTTCCCTATGAAGAAAGGCTAAAGTGGTTAGGACCCTTTAGCTTGGAGAAACAACAACTGAGAGGTGGCATGACAGAGGTTTACAAAATTATGCATGGGATAGAGAAGGTCGAGAAAGAAGTACTTTTCTCCCGTTCTCACCATACAAGTACTTGTGGGCACTCAATGAAATTAATCAGCAGTAGGCTTACAACAGATTAAACAAAGTACTTCTTCACCCAAAGATTAATTACCACTTGAAATTCACTGCAACAGGAAGTGGCGGCGGCTACACACATAGACAGGTTCAAGAGGAGATTGGCTAACATATGGAGCCACAAGGTATAGATGGAATACTATGGCTGGGGCAGGTATGCTCTGTATACTTGGTGCTTGGGGGACAATGATGGGAAGGCTTGTGGAGTTCTGACTCTGCTGGTGGACCTCCTGATGGCACCTGAGTTTTGGCCACTGTGTAACACAGAGTGTTGGCCTGGATCCAACTTCCTTGATCTCATGGAGAGTAGTAATCCTTTCCTCCAGGCTTCAAATCTTCTCCTCTCAGATTCCTTATGAACTTACACTTCTGACAAATGTAGTCCATCTTGTCCTTAGGGAGGAAGACAAACATGGCACACTCCCTGCAGGTGACTGGAAATGGTCCATGAGCATTCATCATCACTTCCCCAAGTGGATTCTTTCACCTAGAAATACCTTGGGGTGCTGATGTTCCCTGAAACTTAGAGAACTGTCCAAATGGCTACCTGAGCCAAAAGGGGAAACAAGCACAACAATGTACAATTTTCTTAACTTCTTATAGGGTCCCCAGGCCCGATCCCCAGGCTAAGAGCCACAGGGCAAAAGCCCTTTAGCTCTCACTTCGACTCGCACCAAGGCTTGTGCCTCTGGCAAGGGGGAGCCTAATATAATTAAAAGCTCACCCAGCAGAGGGCAGGGCCAGCAGTCAGCCCCAGGCAAAACTGCTAAAAGCTGCAATCAGTTACACCCAGGCAAAAGAGACAAACAGAAACCACACTTCCTCAAACAAGCAGCACTCTCCAACAGGCTATACACACCCACACACCCTCAAACACTATCCTCCCACACAGTAATGCTAAAGGCTTTGAATGATATTGGAAATTGTATAAATGTAGAATAAGTATGTTAAGTAACAATAAAGTATACAACAAAGAGTATTCAATATGCTGTAACAAAGTATTCAATAAAGAATTCTCAATAAAGTGAAGGTTGCGGATTGTAATCTTTATTTCAGGTATCTTCTTCAAGAATATAGCACTGACATATAAGAAAAACTATTACACATTTTTCATAACCAACTGTAAATGGTGATATTTCTTCAACCAATTTTCAGAATTTTATTCAGAACAGCTTCTAAGTATTGCAGAATAATTCCAGTATTAATAACACAAATGGGCAACCAGTCACAGTTTACAAAAGAGCCACTCTATATCATTGCTAAGCTGGTGTTTACCCCTGTATGATCCTTCTTTGTGGTCTGTCTTAAGGCACAGTACACTCTCCTTGTAGTAGGAAGAGATGGCTGTTGTGGGAAAATTGATGTACCCTTGTCAGCTGTCCAGGTAAAAACATAAAAAGAGCCCTGCTGGATCAGACCAGTGGGCCATCAAGTCCAGTATCCTGTCTCACACAGTAGCCAGCCAGGTCCTCTGAAGGTCCCACAACAGAGGCTGAGGCCTTCTCCTGATCTTGCCTCCTGGCATTGATAGGCAGAGGTTTACTACCTCTGAACATGGATGTTCCCTTTAGTCACCATAGTAAGTAGCCACTGATAGGCCTATCTTCCATTAATCTGTCGAATCCCCTTTTAAAGCTGACTCTGCCTGAGGCCATCACTATATCCTTGGGCAGCAATTTCCACATTTTAATCACTTGCTGTGTAAAGAAGTATTTCCTACACAAGCATTTACCGAACACCACCATTTCTAAAATGTCAGCTTGGGACAGCATCACTACCTCACCAACAAATCCAAGTGGTGATATAGGCAGGTCCTGGATGCTTGTGTTTTCATGACCTCACTGGCAAACCCCTTTCTGTCCTATGATCTCTCAAAACAATTCCAGGTGCAATTCACTTGGAACCCAGTCACCAGCATGTATTTACAGCAGTGTTGAGATGATTGCTGCTAAACCAATGCTTTTCTTCTGCTGGCAGCCAGCAACATTTAAGTGTTATTCAAAGACATCAGCAATTTCTAAACTTTCCACAAATCCTCTTTGGTTTGTTAAAAAATAAGGTTGTTTTTTTTGTAACTAAACTGAGCCATTTCTTTCTTGCAGGTACAAGTATGATGGTAGAAAAATCTGCAGGCCATCCAGTAGCACATACTGTGATTTCCCTGACTCACCCTGTAGTAATGTTGGTCCTGATTGGTTACTTGGAGCTCTGATGCCAGTCGCTATAATGGAGGGCTACCGGATAAGATTCCTCCTAAGCTAGCAGGAACAGTTTACCACCAGGACTACACATTTTTACCACAGCTGCACAGCAGGGAGTCATTAGAAGAAAAGGACTCAAGAGGAAAACTTACCTTCTTTTTTCTTTTTCTTTTTTAGAAAACAGAACATTTCATACAAGATATGAGACTTTAACCAATCAAAGATTTTTTTACCGGAAGAAACAAAAGGGTGAATTCTGGAAACTGGAAGTCTCATAGTACTGTATTCAGTAGATTTTTCTGCCTTACAAAGCCATGTACAAAAATAATCGGACTCCTAAAACTTGATCTTTTTTTAAAAAAGCAGGTAAATAACATA